CCAAATAAACGAACGAATGAGAGACAGACAGATAGACAGACGAGAGCTAGACAGACAGACAGATAGATAGACAGACAGATGATAGATAGACAGAGAGACAGATAGATGATAGCTAGACAGAGAGACAGATAGACAGACAGACAGATAGATGATAGACAGAAAGACAGACAGATGAGAGATAGACAGACAGACAGACAGATAGATAGACAGACAGACAGACCAAATGAACAAACAAATGAACTAGAGACAGACAGATAGACAGACAGATAGACAGACAGATAGACAGACGAGAGCTAGACAGACAGACAGATAGATAGACAGACAGATGATAGATAGACAGAGAGACAGATAGATGATAGCTAGACAGAGAGACAGAGAGACAGATAGACAGACAGACAGATGAGAGATAGACAGGCAGACAGACAAACAAACAGACAGACGACAGACAGACAGATAGATACACATACAGACAGATAGACAGACCAAATAAACGAACGAACAAACAAATGACAGACAGACAGACAGATAAATACAGAAAGACTATTTGGGATTGCTGACATCAATTTAAGTATGTCTTTAGAGGGCAGAGTTTTGGAGAGAGGGTGTGTGGTTGAAGTTACCAAAACGCTTCCAGCACCTTAAATGGCGCTACCATAGTAATGCCTGTGATCCCGCTAACAACCAATACAGACATGAACATTTTTACACATACACTATATTCAACAGACCCCAAGAGATTTTAGTAAGTGCAAGATTCATGTTTTGCCTGCGATTCAAAGCCACAACTTTGCCCAACATATTTAAAGCTAACTCTTGAGCTAAATCCCTGAGCACTGAGGTTTGTCACCACCACAGCAATGCAAGAACACAAGCAAGTCCAATGAAACCACATGCAAACAATGAGCATGTGCATTAGCTTACAGTATGAGTCTGGCCTCACACTGCACCTAAGTGGCTTGACCTCAGCTCACCCACATGCACAGGTGAGCGGACGGCAGTTATATCACCCTCCAGCTGGCAAAGGTCTTGTCAGGCCTGCCGCTGGTACTCGCCTGGAGGCTGATGGGATTAAAGAGTTCCGGCTGAGCCCGGCACTGTCTGGATGACTGGGCCCTGGCGCTGAGAGTCTGACGACAGGAGGCTGAGTGATTGAGGGACGGTTGTGACTCACAGGTGAGGCTTGTTTTAAAACCATGGCAACTCCAGCGAGATCACAGCCATTGCTCGCAGGTAGGGAGTGTTTTGTGTGTACAGTTGAGTAACAATCACACACACACACACACACACACACCCTGGTACACCCATGTGTTGAGTCACAGAGCATGTTCTGGCTTTCCTGTGACACTTCAGCAGATGTTTAACATCCCACCACTGATGTTTACCCCTCTTATCTTTCCCACTCTTTCTCTCTCACACAGAACTCTCATCAATACTGCTCCCCTTTTGAACTCAATCTATGTTCTTTAGCTGGCTGATTTAACAAGCTATCTGAATAGCGGGTGGATTTGGACGAATGATCCAGCCCTCGAAGACGCCAACAGTGAATTGGCACACAACGGTTCTCTGTTAAACAACCGGCAGATCCAATAGAAAGCTAGTGGACTAATTCAAAGCCCTCCCGTGAGGACTAACCCACTTTGGGTTTATGAAATGTAAATCTACATACTGACATAGTAAACTAGAAATTAAATATTTGTCAGAACAATGAAAATATTATGTGAATTGCGCCGTATGCTAGTCCTCATAGTTAGTTTTCCTTTGCTTTAAGAGTAACACACCAGATACTGGAGACATCCGCTTGCCCTTGAACAACCAGAATAGTTTCTTTGTCCTCATTTTAGGTGTTGGACTTCAAGTGGCCTATTTAATGGGCTTAAGTATCTGATGCGAGCCTTAATAAATAACTTTTTTTTAAAGTTCCAGACCAAAAACGGCAGCAGAAACCCATTAGGAATCTATTGAAACACTGACGAGACACACATCGACTGAACCTGTTGCAACACACTCCAACACGTCCCCTCCTCCCTAAACCACCTATGCTGGAATGCCCGACGGAGCACATGCCAATAAATAGCAACCGATACAGGTTTATGGGAAACAACAAGCCTCAAAATATGATGGGTAAAAACAAACAAACAAAAAAAAAACACAACATGACCAAATAATAGTCATTTACATTTATTAAAATATTCATAATATTTTGTTTTTATTGTTTCAGTAAAATGTATGCATTTTACATATATTTTATGTACTTAATTGTATTTTATATGTCAATTATATTTATGTATTATATTATTTGTATATATTCATTTTCTTAGACAAAATACATATTTAAAACTAATTAAAATCAGGTCTACATATTGGTTATCAGACATTTACACAATCTTCATACCATATCAGTCATAAAAAGTAATACTAATAGATAAAGTAGTGTATTACAGGTAGTGCACAGTTTTGTGCAAACTAATTAGTGCACTTATTTAATATTTTAAAGGAAGACATACCTGCACACAGCCATACATTTGTGCCATACATTTGTGACCACTTAGTTTACAAGCTTAGCTTAAATATAATTGCATTGCAAATTAAATAAATAAGAGAAAATACTCAAAATTAGCTCATATTAAATGTTTTTGTCTCAGTTAAATTATTTAGTATTCTTTAGTCAAAAGTAGAAATAAAACTAATTAAAACCAGTTCTTCATATCGGTTATCGCACATATAAAACAAAATAAGCAATAATGTAGATCTCAGATAGATAGATAGATAGATAGATAGATAGATAGATAGATAGATAGATAGATAGATAGATAGATAGATAGGTGTGACTGACTGAGTGAGTGTGTGTGCGTATGATAGATAGATAGATAGATAGATAGATAGATAGATAGATAGACAGACAGATAGGTGTGAGTGAGTGAGTGAGTGTGTGTGTGTATGATAGATAGATAGATAGATAGATAGATAGATAGATAGATAGATAGATAGATAGATAGATAGATAGATAGATAGATAGATAGACAGACAGATAGGTGTGAGTGAGTGAGTGTGTGTGTGTATGATAGATAGATAGATAGATAGATAGGTGTGACTGAGTGAGTGAGTGTGTGTGCGTATGATAGATAGATAGATAGATAGATAGGTGTGACTGAGTGTGTGTGCGTAAGATAGATAGATAGATAGATAGATAGATAGATGTGAGTGATTGAGTGTGTGTGCGCGCGTATGTGAGAGAGTAAGAGAGAGAGAGAGAGAGAGAGAGAGAGAGAGAGAGAGAGAGAGAGATTGGGAAGGGTTATGTTCTAATCGTGGCAGATAAGTAAAAAACAATGCAAATCACTTCTGTTCTCACGGTGTGCTTCATTTAAAGGGGTCATATGATGCTTTTTTAAAGATCATTATTTTGTGTATTTGGTGTAACAGAATATGTTGACATGGTTTAATGTTCAAAAAACACATTATTTTTCAAATACTGTACATTATTCACGAGCAACACGAACAAGAAACTTGATCTCCCATCAAGTTCATTAACGATGATAAATCTAAACGTAAAGCCACTCAAGAGAATCATCTTATGCAGAACAGCGAACAACGACAATAACTCATATCTAAAGCATGCACTTTCGTTCCTCAAGTCTTGTTAGATCACCACCTGTGATCAGTAAGTTGCTCCATCAGTTGGATCAATGCACTTTACCTTATAGACATTTTCCGTAATGCGGTGGACCTCGTCGGTGCGAGACATAGTGAAATCTTCAGTTAAAACCATAAACGGAGTTTTGCTGAACGTGGTGGGTTATCCGAACAGAGTGTCTGTGTGATGAGGGTCAGCTGCAGATCCGCGCTCTGATCTACAGGCGTCTGATCTCAGCTCAGCAGAACCGAGCGGAGGCATTGGAATGGAGGAGGGGCTTACAAGCGTAGCACCGCCCCGTGTTCTAACTCGCGCCCTGGGGGCGTGGCTACGTTCCACCTGCGCCCGCCTTCTCCCGGACGTAAGTTGACTAACAGCGACTGGACATGCCTTTTCAATGTTTTTTCAGTTTTATGGGTCAGGTTTAGCTACGTTATATGTAAGAAACGGCAGAAAACAGGTTAATTTCCAGGTTTTCCAAGGCCGTGAGAGCCAGAAGAAAAACCTTTATAATTACAGTATTAAACGCAGATATATATATATATATATATATATATATATATATAAATGCATCCATACATGAACAGAATGTCTACATTATAATACTATACTAGGGGGACTATAGTTATACTATATACTATATATACACTATAATCACAAACTCAGTCATCGGAAGACGATTGGTAGTTTTATCTTGTGCTTGTCAGCACAGATTTAATTCCTCTCAATTAGAGATATGAAGAGCCCCCTGCTGGTCATGACATGCTAACACACATCTGCAAGAGCCACGACCACGAAATGAACTTAATCTTACTACAGAATCAGATACACAGATTGTAACCCAAACTCTTTTAGGGTTTGCATACATAAACAGGCTTAAAAAGCACTTTGTTTAAACCACATCTGTAAAAGTCCTATAAACATTTTTGGAATAAATTGGTACTCCATATAAGATTCATTTAAAATGACCCATCATCAATAATCCAGCTAGTCCAGTAGAAGTTAGCAAAACAGCTAACACTGCTTAAAGCGGTGGTTTATTGCGATTTCACTTTTTTTAACGTTAGTCTGTAATGTTGCTGTTTGAGCATAAACAATATCTGCAAAGTTACAACAAAGTTACTCACAAAGGTGAGGGGCGGGACGTTTAGATCGTACTAGAGGCGGTTTAGCCAATCACAACACACTGGGCTAGCTAACCAATCAGAACCCATCACCTATTTCTGAGGGCGGGGCTTCATAAAAACAGGACAAGATCAGCCCGTTTCTCAGAGAAGGGACAGAGCAGTGTGGAATAAAGGTAAATTATGTGAAAAATAATGCGTTCTTTAAAAAACGAAGCATTAACACATGTTAGACTGCACCCCATAAACACAATCAAGCCTAGAAAAAAAACACTGAACCACCCCTTTAAATACCAATGCTACAGGCTACTTTATAGTTGTATGTTAGGTTGCAATGAAAAAGATACTTGGCTAAAGTGTTGTAGCAATTTGGTTCACTTTTTGCAGTTAAAAATGAAAATACAAATGAAAATACTAGTGCCACATAACAGAGCTCATAGCTCATAGGTTGTTCATTTATTTTAACAAAACCAAATATTAATTGATGTGAACTGTCATTTAAGCTTCTAGCTACCTTACCCACTTACCTAACAACAGTTGATTTTACATTAAGAAAATACTGTAAACTCTGTAACAGCATTTCAATTCTACATGGTTCGACCACCTTGTTCATGACATTTTAAGTGGTTTATATAATTACTTTCAAAGGGAAATGTTTTAAATATTTTACAAGTATAATTGCAATATAAAAAACATTATAGCCAATTACAATCAATGAACAATCAATTTCCATTACTTTTTTCTTGACCATGACTCCATTGCTTTCCATTACTTTTTTTTTTAAGTCTGAAAAATCACAAATGTAAAATTCCTTGACATTTCTACGTTTTCCATAACCATTTGAACACTGATTCTGATGCATGCCTATTAAATATCATATGAAAGCCTTCTTTTCTGCCAATTATATTCCCCTAGCTCTTCCTTTCATTCAAAACAGAGTGATGAGCCAGGTTGTAGGATCGAACACTACGCTGCCAGCATCTCTCGCTCCGGCTTGATTTGTGCCTCTTTTCTTTCTGCAAAGACACAGAGCACAAAGCGAGTGACAGAAAGCAATCAAAAGCCAAATAAGAGAGCCATGTCAATACTTTGACAATACTAAAACAACACCTGTTTCCCCCTTAGGCACCGCTGGCAATGGATCTGTGGATAATTCTGGAAGTGTGATGTCTTCTCCCTGCCCAGGATGGAGAGAGTAGCCTTAGATTAGACACAGGCTATGCACTAGCAGCGAGTGATATCTGGCAGCATGGACGACAGGTAAAGGTCCCCACACCTGAATGATGGCCTCCAGCTCTGCTAACACAGCATCCTCATCCTCCGGTGTCAAAGAACCTGCCAGCAGTTCATCAATTTGCTTTAAGGGAAGAAGTTTCAAGAAGCAGTTAGACATTCAAAGCAATAAAAACCAGGAAACAGCAGTATGGCCAATGTCCAGGACTTGCATTTCCCAAAAGCATCGTAAGCATAAGTAGATTGTAGAACCATTGCCACCAATAGTCGCTACAATCAACTTAGCTCACACTGCTTTTGAGAAACTCAGCCCAGGACTATAATAGAAGGAAGGGAAGTTTAAACTTAACACAATTTTCTGAATAGTGAAAAATCATTATTAGACCTGCTTTTGCAGTGGCTTCATAAACCCTTTGGACACTTAAGACACGCTTAAACATTTATGAATTTTATTATTTTTTCAGATCTAACTTTTTTAGTGGATATGTCAACCAAGGCTGCATTTATTTGATTAAAAATATAGTAAAAAACCTAATACTGTGAAACATTACAATTTAAATAACTATAAATATGCCGATTTGCTGCTCAATAAACATTTCTTTTTATTCTCAATGTTGAAAATAGTTGTGCTGCTTTTCACTTTCGGAGAGTGGACTGTCACTTTTGATCAATTTAATGCATTCTGGCTGAATACAAATATTAATTTCTTGACTGACCTCAAACTTTGCATATCACATTAACTATAGACATGTTATACATGTACATGCTTGTGCTCTTTCTTCAATATAAATGCCACCTGGTTTTGTTTCATTGTGTTATGTAATGCAATGACTTTCATTCATTTCTAAGTGTTTTAAGTCTATTTAGCATCGCTCTGAATGTTAAGTGGACTGAATTAGACTCTCATAACCTTCTGATACTCAATGGCCTCCTGCGTCTCCTCCAGTATTCTCTCCACCTCCTCAATAGACATGACCTGATGAAGAAAAACAGAAAAAAATACTTCATTCAAATGCTCACTCAGTCCATTAAATAACTTTGTATATATTCATAACATTATTGACCCTTCGCTAACCTCCACCCCCATTCGGTTACTGTTGCTCACTGAGACAAGCCCTACAGAACATCCCACAGAAATGAATCAGTCAACAGTGCAGATTTCAGTCAAATGTGCTCATATAAAGCAATGGAAATGTAAAAGATGTTATTCTTATATGGGCTGGAATTGTGAAATATGAACAGAATTGTTTATCATGTTCCTACAACACATGATACTGTGAATGTCGGTGTTCTTACTCATGCTCTACATGTATATGTGGGAATCAAATGCACAGATCTTCCAAACACTTATATTAAAAAAGCAGCAAAAGATCGTCTCATAATATAATGAACAGAAACAGGTACTAAGTAGTTGCACTTTAAAGGTGGGACTTACAGAAGGGGCAGTGTTTTCTGTTGTTGAGTTCAAAGGGTTCTGGAGATTCAGTACAAGACAAAGACGAGCCTGCTGTAATCTAAGAGTTTTATGTTTAAGCCTTTAATCCTACAACAATGTCCAACAGTTCCCATAACATGCTGCTACTTACTAAACCACCCACCGCACAACACCAAACAGGCCAATGATTCATCTTGGCTCCTAATAACAGCATGTAACACCACCAATAATTGATCACTAAGCTGTTGCAGGTGCATACACTTGTTACAATACAGCAAATCCGTGATTTGAACTTGCTTCAGTCTATAGACTTACCTCGTGCATTTGCTTGAGACAGTCATTCCCAGCCTTTAAACCCTCAATGACCTTTATTTCAATCTGAGCAAATTCAATATCTTGAACCTGAAATGAGGCATAATCAAAGTATAACTTATATTTCTCATGCTTCTTGTAATACCACAACATGATTAAACAAACAAACAAAAATAAATAAATAAATAGTCAGTTTCTTCAGTGACACATGATACTTCGTATCATTCTAATATGCTGATTTGGTGCTCAATTAATAATAATGGTCTTTATTATTATCAATGTTGTTTTTGCTGCTTAATATTTTTGTGGAAATGGTGATACTTTTTTTCAGATTATTTGATGAATAAAAAGTACAAAAGAACAGCATTTATTTATATATATTTTGTAGTAACATTGTTTACGGTCACTTTTGAACAATTTAATGCATCCTTGCTTAATAAAAATATAATTGTTATTATTATTTTAATAGTTTTTTACCCCAAACAAATGAATGGTTGTGTTTCACAGGTTCCATAAAAATATTAAGCAGCAAAAACTGTTTTTTAACATGATCCTTCAGAAATCATTTTAATATGCTGATTTGATGCTCAAGAAATATTCCTTCTTATCATTGTTACGTGCCTCCCTAGTCTAGGGTCAGGGAATTGGTAACAATTAGTGGCTTGTTGGTCTAGGGCTATGATTCTCACTTAGGGCGCAAGAGGTCCTGGGTTCAAATCCCGGACGAGCCCCCAATTGTTACCAGCTCTCTGACCCTACACTAGGGAGGCAAACCACATCATCTAAACCCACCATGCGCTCCAGGTTGGATATCTGGACGTCCGTCTTGTCCAGCAGCTGATCTTGGTAGCGTTTCTTTTTGAGCAGCAGAAGAGCTCGTCTGTGAAATGCATGAATCACACGTGTTAATGAATCTGTTAAACCAAAATCACTTTTTGCCATGTACGATGCAGATATGTCCACGTCAGCACAATAAAGGCACTGTGCAATGCATGATGGCTGATTCTGGGTGATCGTAGGGCTGGACGATATGGCCAAAATTGATATCACGATATATTTCTTAATTTCGGTCGATATGATATAATTCCGATATCGATATGAACACTATGCTATCATGAATGTTAGCATTGCGTAATGAGTGCACTTGTATCGGTGTAATCTGAAATGTCTTACTCCTTCTTGCCATCCTTCAGGAGCTGTTTGGCCAGACATCTCTCTTTCTCCAGCTGTAATGTGATTTTCTTCTGATATTGTTTCAGTTTATCTCTCTGCTGTTTCAGTTGCTGTGATCCAGTGACAGGATGTAAAGCAGAAACATGACAGTTCAATTATAGAAACACTTCTTATTCATAAAAGTGTCAGTTCTCGACTAAGATGAACAAACAGCTGTCAAAACATATCATAGTCCAGACATGGATCACCTGAAATACTGTTCGTGTGTTCTGATTAATAAGACAGCAGACTCTATAGGCTAAGATATTTCTAATGTTTCTTCTGTCATTTTGACCATGTTAACTTTTCTTATTAAAAGTGAGTATAGATATATTAAACTAACCACAGCCCCTTTTGTAATTCCAGGTTACTATTCAAGTTATTACTAACTAAAAAAATGTAAATAACATGCACTTCATATGATCCCTCTTATTTTGGTAAAATAATTAACATTTTGCAGATAATGCAAAGTGTATGTAAAATTTTGACCACAACTGTATGTTCTTTAATGAAAACAAGTTACTGAAGAGGGCATTTCATCTTGATTTTGTGTTTTTTTATTTTAATTTAAAGAATTAAATTTTTTAGACATTATATATGTGTGTGTGTGTGTGTGAATAATTGAAATACTTTTATTTTCATTATTTTAGGGTTAAATTAATTTAGCCCTGACCACTGGTCTATAAACAAAGAGTTTATTTTGTATAATATTATAAAATAACATATAAACGGTATAATGTTATCTATTATTATTCGATTAAATATTGGTGTTTTTAAGCTATACGATAGATACTGATGTTTTATTCTACAGTAGATGTGATTCCATTCTATTTTACTCAATACTGTTCGGTTTCATTTTATTCTAATACATTATGTTCTATAGCCTAATGGATGATGTGCTGTTTTATTCTAATCAGTAAAAGATGTTCTGCTCTACTCTATAACAGATTGTGTTCCGTTGTATTCTATGATAAACTGTTCTCCTCTATAATATACAGCACACTGTTCCATTGCACTCTCTACTCTATATCTATTCTATTGTGTTCCGTCTCTTCTGTAACATTCGTTCTGTTCAGTTCTGTAGTATACTATAACATACTGTTCTGTTCTACAGTAGTCTATACACTGATTTCTATTCTGTGTTGTGTAAAGTAGGACAGCTGATCTAATCATTTGGTTCGCAGGGCAGTATGGCTGAAATGGTTGCAGACGCACTACAGTGTGTTGGCTCTATATCTACACGTGCGTGTGTGAGTGTGATGCTCATTGATTGATTGATTGATTCTTCTTACCAATATCGCCCTGTCCTGATCTGTCACTCGACTGGTGACTCGTCCCTGCCTGCCGAAAACATTTCCCATTGCGAATAAACCACATTCCCGCCTTACTTCTAATATCACATCTCATATAAAATACCAGCTACTATTTACTTTAAAGCACATGGAAAAGATGTTGTCCGATATATCAAGTGTAGAGCGGTGGATGGCGTGTTTCATTCAGTTGTGGCTCGCTAAGCGCATTTAGCGTCTATGGATGCAGCTGCGCCCTCTAGAGTCACTGCAGCGGCATTGCAGTAATAATGTGACTATTTGCCGCCCCCTGTCGTTCTTTTTGTGCACGTGTCTAAAAAAACATGACTAATGTTTCCAAATTAACTGAGACCTTCAGAGACATAATCAAAACACAGTCCAATATGATATGTGTATTAGATATGGCTCAGGTCCCTTCAGTGTAAGTATATTGCATTTTTAGTTTGAGCAATTCCAGTTGCTTAAAAAACGTAATAGTACACCTCTCTTTGACAAGCATTTGAGGTATCATTCACGTCAACAACACAAATGGTGCAGGACAGGGCAGGTGTCATAGTTTAATATTTCTTCAGATTTATTTTAAATTAATATTTGTTTAAATCCGTAACCCTAAGTGTGTGCAATAGTAATAGTGCTGCATGCTTTGGAGAAAAACACTAATTATCCATTTAACCATTTAAGTAATTTATTTTGAATACTTTTGACCTCTATAAAATATAATTTGGTTAAAAGAATGATTTTTTCCCCCCCCCACACCAAACCACATTTTCACACAGCAAGAACTGAAATTAAATGAATGTTACTATGGAAGATTGTTTCAGCCACGGGATTTAAAAAAAAAGCTATTTTCAACTATTTATCACACAATTCTGAGAATTGCGAGATATAAACTCATAATTCTGAGGGGGAAAACAAGTCTAAATTGCAAGATTAAAAGTTGCAATTACAGTTTTTATAAAAAAACCTCACAATTCTGAGAATTGCGGCATGTAAACTCAGAGCTGCGAGAATTGTGAGATGAGAAGTCGCAGTTACTTTTTCTCCTTTTTTTAAAAATTCCACGACAGAAATTGGCTTCCATTACAGAACGGACTAAGAATAATAAAAAAAGTAACTTTCAGTAAAAATTATTTATTGAATCAAATGCCACAAAAAAAAAACATATTACATGAACAATAAAAAAAGCACTTTTGAAATATTATGACAAATAAAGACAATAACAGCAGTAGAATTCAACATGTATAATTTAATCTAATTTTATTCTTTTTCATTCACTCATTGGGATAATAAACAGCTTCCTGTCTACACAGCGGTATTGTGAACCTCAATAATAATAATTTCTTTAAAAATGTCCAGGTCTATACAGTACGTCAGTCACACAAAAGAGCTTAAACTAGAAAAATAGGCTTTGCCAGCTTTGAATACACAGGCATTCAGACAAAGATACTTTAAGAAGCTTGAACCAAACAAACAACTAGACGGTCCGTGATTTCCATATCCAAATCTACCATTGCAGAATATGATTCATATTTATCTTTGTTCTGTGCCGTGAGCCTCATAAAATTTTGTCTGAAATGAATAGCAGACATAACTGACTACTAAATCACATCACAGCATAGAAGTACAATATATTTAAATAAAGGCACCAACAAAACACCTTGTTCCTCATGCAAAACATATTGCCGTCTATTTAACCAGTACAAAAGTCAGAGAATATTAATTAAAGGCTCATAATGGAGCTCGAGGCCTTTGTGTAGTAAAATGCAACTGTTTTCTTTTCCTTTCTTTATCATTTTCTTCAGCTATAATCACCATTTGCATGCCCTAAGCTAAAGTATTAATCAAAAACATTTAAGATCTTCTTCTGATTCTCAAACACCAGGCTGATCCAGTTCGCTGCTATCACAGAAAACAATTTATTAACGATCTGACGAGCCCCTGAGGTGAATAAGCAAATATTTACATGGTCAGAGCTCACCCACAAACCTCTGAGGAATTTCTTTCTAGATGAGACGTTAATGTCTGGATGGCAGGCGGTCTTTGAGAACTCCCTTTGATGCATTAAATATTTGTGCTTTAACATCCACAGGTGTCCTCCTTTGAGATGAGATGAGAGATCTCCATCTACTTGACCTATTAAAGGAACGCATCTCATGTTGCTGGAGACTCCTTGAGGATGGGGAACCAGGAAACCTACATCTGGAAGTCTGTCCCGAAGTGTCTGATTTGGGCATCAGTCATAGACAGGTAGGTGGTCCTCATGCTGGGCGAATACTGCGGTTGTAAAAGAAAAATGAAGAAACAGAGATGTTAATGGGGTTCGACATTAGATACTGGCATGTGTGAAAACCACAGTCAAAAGACCCTCAAGCCCCATTCACAAACACATACAGAGATCTGCACCGAGAAAAAGCACTCATTTTCAATAGGAGTTGATTTTTTTTTTTAGCAAAATGACCAGCCAAAGTGACTTGAACATGAGAATACTAACTTCCCAGCAGAACTTGAAAGCAATGCGGGTGTCAGCAAGATGGAGGAGTTACTGTGAGCAATTTCACTGCTCTATTTGATTAGTTTCTGCCCTTGTACTGGAAATAATAATAATAATAAAAAATAAAAAAAAAGTAATGCCTGGAAACCTCCAGAAATAAAATCACTGTATGTGTGAACAGGACTTCAGGTGAGGAAACAAGGTGAGTTGGAAAAATACTGATGAATTTTTGGCAAAAGACAACAGCTGTACAAATAGCCGTAAAAACTGCTCACTGCTTACATTTTAAAGGGATGTACAGAATGTTTATGGAGTGGGGAAGGAAGGAAATGAGGACAAACAGGGCAATAGCATGTTGAAGGAAGGCAAAACCATTGTTGGGGACAGGGGCGCACTTACTGTTTCTAAATGTCTGAGGATATAACTTCAAATGTGATAAAAGACATGAAAAGAACTCAATTAGCTGTGAAATATCATTGTGAGAATACAGTGTCTTGACAGTTAAAAATGAAGTTGGGAATCAGTTCATTAGACCAGTGGTTCCCAACCCTGGTCCTGGAGGCACCCCAACACTGCATGTTTTGCATGTATCCTTAATCAAACACACCTGATTCAGGTCATCGGCTCATTAGTAGAGACTCCAAGACCTGAAATTGGTGTCAATGTAAGGAGACATGTAAAATGCGCAGTGTTGGGGTGCCTCCAGGACCAGGGTTGGGAACCTCTGCATTAGACTACGGACTGTCCTGTGATTAGTTTTACGCCTTCTGCAATGCATCAACCAACACGACTCACTAGATGATCCTCTCAAATACACCCTTTCACTTCTGATTCATCTTAGACCTCACAATCTGCACAAGCCTGATGGAGTCAAATTGAATTAAGACAGGACTGTTTTTAATTAATTTTCATTAATAATTTAGTATTAGTAATTAATAGTAGTTTCTCCTTATTCCCTTTATAACTGCAGGGATATTTTCAACTATAAAAAGGAAACATTAGGGGGCAGTAATGCTCCATGTCTGCTTTCAGCTTCAGTTCTCCTGATCTTGTACACCACAATCAAACAAAGCAACCCTCAACACAGGTTACATTAATTAAATCTTAATGGATCTGATACTTATGCCATAACATTCACCATAATTAAGAATTATGATGAATATACTCCATACCGTTCAAATGTTTGGGTGCGGTAAGATTTTTAAAAATGTTTTGAAGAAAGTCTCTTATGCTCAGTAAGGCTGCATTTATTTGATCAAAAATACAATATACACAGTAAAATTCTGAAATATTATTACACTTTAAAATATCAATTTCCCATTTAAATATATTTTAAATCTAATGTATTCCTGTGATGCAAAGCAAAGTTTTCAGCATCATTATTCCAGTCTTCAGTGTCACATGATCCTTCAGAATGCTGATTTTCTGATCAAGACACATTTCTTATTATTAGCAATGTCTTCCGCAATATTTTTGTGGAAGAAAGTAGGTCATACTGGTTTGTAACAGTGCTAAAAAAAATCAGCAACTATCTCAAGATATGATACACATCGTAATGTATTAATTGGATTCCAATTTGAACTTTGCTTTATTTTGTCCAGTAAGACATGGTATGAAGTTGAGAATTTTTAGTAGTTTTAACCAGTTTACACTCATTTAGACCTACCTCTTTAGAAATTTTAACAGAACGTACACGGAAAACAAATTCATTAAATAAATAGAATAGTAATATTATATATAATGATTTATACTTGTATCAGCAGAGTCCTAGTGTTGAAAGACATGAGGGTTGAGTATATATTCATTTTAATTTTTGCAACAAAACAACACATTAACAGACCAATGGTTGATGATACAGAAACCATCAAACATACAGAAATATAGTAAAACTGTCAGTAAATGGAAGATTGAAATCAAAATACCGAAGGTGGTGGTGAACCGCTCCCAATCAACGGGACGTTTTCATAGCGAGGATTTCTTTCAAATAGCATGGACTGGTTCCTGCCGGAGAGGAAGAAAGGGAAGTGGGTCAGCATGAAAGAAAACAACAGTTCTCTCTCTCTCTCTCTCTCTCTCTCACACACACACACACTCACATGTACTCTGGTGTGCTGGATGTGGCTGGCAGCGGAGGATGCAGACTCGTCTGGCTGCCCATGCTGCTGCTGTAGCTGCAGAAACTGTGAACTTGAGCTCGGCTGGGGTTATACGCCGTGATGCGTCTTGACGGGTTAAAGGGGTCCTCCTCATCCATATCATCACAATCCCTGTCCCTGAGGACAACCAATCGCACGTCAGCTACACCGGTGGTCTCAGTGCCATGCACTGCAGTGACACAACAGGAAGGTGGATGGTACCTGATGGCGATGAGGGCCCAGGCACGTGGGACGGCACACAGCAGGGCACAGAAGGCACAGGCTGCCAGCAGAGAGAACAGGCACAGATACAGGAGCCCCTCCACACCATCATAGCAGATGCCCAGCAGAGCCTCCAGATAGTCCTGCAGGATCAGAAAGCTGTTAGATCAACACAGGACCTAACAAAGTCCCCCCAAAAAATTTGTTTTTAAGTAGTTTGAGATAATCATTTATTATTAATTAGAGAAAAAAATATCGCTTATTAATATTTGAAAAAACAGAGACCCCTATAATACCAAGGTCATCATAAGAAAAATAAAACTATGGTTTACCTTTTCGAAAAATAATAATTATGA